ATTGCAAATACCTTTCTGAAGTAAACATGTCAAACTAAAAAAAAATTATGAACATTTTCCATGATCCATTCATGAAAACTCCATTGACTTCTGTGTTATCATGCTGTCAAACATGAATACCTCTGACTAGTTTTACTGTAAGGGTGTTTGATACCCTGACCCAGATATACACTACCCCCAAAAGTTTGGAAATCCTGATTTCCTGTCAGATAATAAATAAAAAACTTCTTTATGACATTTTATGTTTTCACTTTTTTATAAATTAAACAGTAGGTGGAAAAGTTTTGACAATGTGATTAATTTTTAAAATCATCAAACATAAACAGCCTTAACACCTGACCAAACAGGGGAGTTGTTTCCATACTTATCGAGGGGGTGTATCAATAACATTTATTACAATGTACTTTTACCATGGCTGGATCATCTGGTAGACCAGGATTAGATTATTGTATTCATTAATTCAGAAACACTAGATTGACACAGTGACAATGGGGATTACTACAGTGCTGATATATAATAATATAGGGTGCATTTTCAAACTAAACAGAGTGCTCCTACCAAAATGAATTTGATTGAACAAAACAGAAAAGAATCCACTGTATTTCTGCTTTCTGCTTCAAGTCTTTCTCTCAAAAACACTGTGGTTGGAAAATATAGTGAGGAGGGGGGGAAAAGCATTAATGGAAGGGGGGATAAACTTACACAAAACATTATTTATCCAGTTATTTTAAAGGATTGTCAAAGTCAGAAATTAATTTTTTGAAAGGTCCATGACCATGTGCAGTATGGTAGGTGATTTTAGACAGTCATATCTTTCACCATGAGTATTTTCTGGCCATAAAAACAATGTTTTTTATTAAAACAATATGTTTTCTTTCAAATGAAGTCCCCATGATAGTAAAATATCAATCCAACTCTCTGACAAATTATGGATTAGGGGCCCACTCTGGCACTTTAAAAAAGATGTTAGGCTTATTTTCTAAAAAGAGGATCTTGCTTTTCTCAATTTAAACAATCTACACTTTATTAACAATTTCTGAAAAGGGGATGCGTACTGAAATGCGTTAAAGTTAAAAACCACATATCCCATGTTATTTTCCCATAGGGAAAACTCGTGCTATCCATTGTTTTCAGCATCATTTTGGTCATCGAAAATTGATATCTTCAAAACTAGACTTTCAATACAATTATATTTTTGAAGATGTTTTAGACCCCTTGTTGAATAATCTTTTCAAGCAATAAAAATCAGAAAAGGGAGATCCTCTTTTGAGTAAATAGGTTCAATATTTTGAAAAAAATGTTGACATAGGGTCCCTATTCATAATTTCTCGAATTGTTCGATTGATATTTTTATCATCATGGGTACTTCACTTGAAAGAAAACACATTGTTTTAACACCGTATTTATGCCTAGAAAGTACTCATGGTGAAAGATATGACCGTCTAAAATCACTTGCCATACTGCACATGGTCTTTTTTTGACTTATATTGTATCAAAGTTTGAAGAGTTCTGTAATTTTTCTAATTTTGCATTTACTGTTTTATATTCAAATAAGGCATTGATAATATTCTTATTCTACCAGTTTTCTACTACTTATTTCAATGACATATGGAATACTGAAACAACTTCAGGAGGAATATTGTAATGGCGCATCTGGGTAACAATTCTCTGGTGCATTTGTAGTTGAAATCAGGGAAACAATCCTGCAGTACATTTAGTGAAAGGGGCATCTGGGTAACAATCCTCTTGTATAAACATGACAGAGACATCTTGGTAACAACCCTCTTGTGTCAACATGACAGAGACATCTGGGTAACAACCCTCTTGTGTCAACATGACCGTGACATCTGGGTAACAACCCTCTTGTGTCAATATGACAGAGATATCTGGGTAACAATCCTACTATCACAATGATCCCAGCGGTCGAATATTTCCCCCAAAATCAGAATAAACTGCATATCTGATGCTATCTCTGAGAAACAATCAATATAAAATATGTTCTGGATCCAGTAAATATCAACTCTTAGGCTAAGCTAATTTAATTATCTGTTCTGATTCCCTTATGTACTTCTCTTGACCCATTATTAACATTATTTTCCACTCCTACGCTTCCAAAAATAACACTGTAACTAATTGGCATTGATCGTAAATAAAATGCTTTTTGTTTTAATAATTTGCAAAACTTAAACGATTGACAAAGCAACAGCCAATCAGACTTGAGTTCTTTAGTGTTTTACCAACCAGGTAAATTTAAGCAGCCATGCATTATCATGAATTAATGCACAGGATACAATATAGATTCCTGTATCATTCTATATTTCAAATTATTAAAGCATGGGTGCATCAATTAATCCATAGAGATAAAGCACAAGGATGGAGACCAAGTATATTATATTCATGAGTCATATTCATAAATATACAATGATTTATTCCTTAATTAAACAAGGCACAGACGTGAACAATATCATACCTAAAACACAGCATTGTGGTCTTGTTGACCAAGAAAGCAAGATGGCCGCAGAAAAGTTAATCAGCTCTGGAACTTATCACTGTGTAACATATGTAAAAATTTGAACGGTTTGGCTGGAAAGATTTTAGGATGGAAAATCCAAAATGGCCACCTTAAAATTTACCCAGAATGCCCAAATACCAATCAGTTCTTGACGTTGATATGTAGAAACATCCCTGAAAATTCCAGATGAATCCCTCAAATGGTTTGGCTGAAAACCTGTAGACAAGTCTTGAAAGTGAAGATTTTAGGACAGAAAATCCAAAATGGCCACCTTAAAATTTAACCAGAATGCCCAAAAACTAATCAGTTCTTGACGTTGATATGTAGAAACATCCCTGAAAATTTCAGATGAATCCCTCAAAAGGTTTGGCTGGAAACCTGTAGACAAGTCTTGAAAGTAAAGATTTTAGGACGGAAAATCCAAAATGGCCACCTTAAAATTTACCCAGAATGCCCAAAAACTGATCAGTTCTTGACGTTGATATGTAGAAACATCCCTGAAAATTCCAGATGAATCCCTCAAATGGTTTGGCTGAAAACCTGTAGACAAGTCTTGAAAGTGAAGATTTTAGGACGGAAAATCCAAAATGGCCACCTTAAAATTACCCAGAATGCCCAAAAACTAATCAGTTCTTGACGTTGATATGCAGAAACATCCCTGAAAATTTCAGATGAATCCCTCAAATGGTTTGGCAGGAAACCTGTAGACAAGTCTTGAAAGTGAAGATTTTAGGATGGAAAATCCAAAATGGCCACCTTAAGATTTACCCAGAATGCCCAAAAACTAATCAGTTCTTGACATTGATATGTAGAAACATCCCTGAAAATTTCAGATGAATCCCTCAAATGATTTGGCTGGAAACCTGTAGACAAGCTGAAAAGTGAGACGCCGCCCGCCCGCCCACCCGCCGCCCTTCAAGCTGACTACAATATCGTACCTCTTGTTAGGTACGATAAAAACTTGAAAACAAAGCTGTATTCCCTCTTCAATTTGAATATCTACAAGACCAAGAATTGGATAATTAACTTACCTTGGCCTAAGGCTATACAAAATGCACTCTCCCCATACTAATAAGACCATATTATACTCTACAAGAGACCCTTAAATACGGTAGATGGGATGAGATAGAACATTGGATTGGACACATATCAGATAACTCAAATTGAATAGCAGAAGCCTACCATCCTTGATAGGTCTGACTCAGCCAAGGAGTGACTGAAACTGAGTACATTAGTACACAGAGGAGCTTTTTTTACAGAAGAAGCTCTTCACAGAGGAGCTTGGGAGAAGAGTTTTTAATAGATGAGCTTTTTACATGTATAGAATCTAAATCTGGTAAGTTTCATGTTCATTTCTTTACATTTCTTACACAAAATCATATATTGCAATTGAACATAATAGAGAGTAAGCATATTTGGATATAAGTCCTTCCTTTATTCATTTGGAATTTTCAAAACATACAGACAAGAAAAATGAAAACATACAGACAAGAAAAATGAGGTTCTGGTTACCTGTCAATCTGACGACAATATTGAAACTATATTTTTAGATATAATAATAAAAATCTGCAAACTTAATAAAAAAAGAGTCAATACCTCAAGTGATGGATTTATCAATTTATCTAATACTGGCAGGATATTAATAAAGTTATTACAAGTACATGTACACTTCTTTTATCATGCATCAGGTTTGTGTATCTCTGCACATTTTAATTCCCAGACCATAAAAAATAATATATTTTAATGTACTAGCTGATAAGAATAACAAACTATACTAATAGCAACTAAGCAATAAATTTGAGTAACTGGTAAGTAAACCGAGCAGTATATTAATATAATACAATGGATAAAAATTAACCCATTCCTTATGAATCAACAATCAGTATTTCTTTGAGTGATCATATACAAGAATATTTAAAGAACATTAAAGAACATGTCTCCTTAACTTTGAAAGATTCACATTCAAGGATCCACAAACCACGTTCTGCCACAAACATGGTGGCTATAGCAACAGCCAATTATGGATTGAAAATGTGTTACTGATGGTAGATCCTCAGTTAAAAAAATGCAAGTACCATGGATACTTGCATAGTATGCAAGAAAATACTTTACAGAGACCCATATATAAAATATAACTATTTGTGACCATGAACGAACAACCTATTTAACTATAATTTAGAAGCAAATGTGATTCCCTTTAATATAATACAATAGCCTCCCAGTCATAGCATTCCAGATAAAAATAAAAGATCAGAATTGAAAAAATGAACTTCATTCAAATGATATGAGGTTCATATTTAGAAGTAGAAAATTATGAACTTCAAGTAATTTCACGAATAATCAAACGAAATAATATTTCGCACGTAATTTATTGTATAGGCATTCCCATGGTGCAATGCAGAAGGGACTAATAAAACGTTGCTGAATTTGTATCAGAGAAAAACAGGCGATAAAACTGCAAAATACAAAGGTAGCGTCGACTCATCAATTTTAACCTAGACAAGATGAGAGATCAGGGACTAATAACGGCTCAGACTTTGTAGCATTGTATTAATCGTTTTAACATACTCTCGTATACTGGTAGCATATTGACATTTTGCGAGATAATAAACCATTTATTGAACACATCAAGATTCAGAGATAGGAGCGTTAACACAGAACCAAATTCAAATTAGAGCATTAAGGTTAGTATTTCAAGGATTTCTTCAGAAACTGTAAGTTAGTGTCAGATTACATTAAATACATTTTCAAATTCAAGTTTTCAATTTCAATTTATTTTGAATTATTTTGAATCACAAAGAAACAACTTCATATTCAGACAGATGAACATTAACAAATAAAATATATAATATTCATTTTCTTATGATCTATCCAAAACAACATTTAAACTAAATGGCCGCAATAATTCATTGAGGGAGTACCAGACTATTGTAAATACAGTATAATCTTATAATTGGTATAAGGCATTAAAAAGAAAATACTACATGAATCTATGACTAGGTTAGACATACATGTATGGATTCTGCATCCAAATGAAGCAAATTAAGTCTTGTTATATGATATAATTGGAAACAATGTGCGGCAATTATTCTAATTTAGCATTTTTGAACATAAAAGCAATCATAGAATACCCAGAGGTGTGAGCCTTCATCATCATGATGATTGATTGATTCATTAAATTTTGATTAATTTGATTGTGATTAATTTCATTATGATTAATATGAATAAAGGATAATGATAATCCATACTTTATTAACACTCATTGAAGAGACTCCTTTGTACAGATATGACTTCATTTTCTCGATCAATCAATCACATGAGGTGTTTAATTATATTTGTACAAGATTTTCAATTGATTTTATTAACAATGAAATTTTTTAGCAAACAAATACATAGGTGTAAAAGTAAAAAAGTGGGTAGAATGAAAATTATAATATACAGATCCTATTTGAAAACAAGTGGGTACAGAGAAAGAATTTGGAGAGAATGAGAGTGATGTTATGTACAGATCCTTTTTGCAAATAAGTGGATATAGAGAAACCTTTTGGAAAGAATGAAATGGCAGACAGTTTGACTCTGTTTATGATGTTCGTGAGATAAGGTGATATAGAACATCATATTCTCATTAGCAGATGGCAAACTCTTGTAATTAGAGTTAGTAAAGAGCAACCATATTTGCTTGCCCTTTAAATGTTATCACACAGACATGCTATATCTGGCTTATTCAACTAATTTCATATAAATCATACCTTTACATCACATTGCAATTCTCGAAATCGTTGTTCCCTCTTCATAAGAGGAGACGCGAAAATCTTTCCTTATAAGGTCAAAATATTTCCCATGATGCAGTTCGCGGAGGAACAAATTTATACTTCCTTGTTTTCCCTCATAGGTTTAACATGGGGATTTTCACACCTATGTTTTCAAACGATATATTCGTTCATATTCCCGTGCGAGAGTACAGAAAAAATTATTAGAAACGATTGATCTCTTATTAATCTTAATATAACAGCTATTTTTTCATTGTATTGATTCATAGCGTGGTGAAAACGACGATTGAAAAGTGAGAAAATATTCCGGAAGAGAAGGTCACGTGATCAGTTGACTAGTCGCCATATTGGAAAAAACAATTCCATTCGAGTTTCAATACTTTCATGCCAATCTTACCGCATTGCAAACTGCAACATCGATGCAACAACTGAATAAAAGTATTCATCTTCAAATTACATTATAGAGTTACGTTGAAAACCCACAAACAACTGAGCAGTAGACCAAAGAAGACGCGTCACTATTATCTAGGTCAATCTGTTCTGTGGTCCGAAAGCAAATCTATAGTACTCGTTTCCGAATTTTGTTGTTCATTGTACAATCTTTTATTGATTAAACTCGGTATACTGACTATTAAAGCAATGACAAAGAAGAATACTTCCGATGGTGTCATTGTTTTATTTAGCGTGCGGGTGTTTAAACAAAATTGCGTAATTAGTTTGATTTAGAACTTTCGGGTCACGCAAATAGCTACGCGAAATGCATAGTGGGAAAATATTGACCAATCAAATTTTGTCCTTTTTGAGTGCTTTTTCAGAACATATTTGCGAACGTTCTGATTCAAAGAGCGAACCGCGAAAGGGAGAATTTGGAAATACTCCGGATATGGTTTATGGCTTAGTTCCATATTACACTGTTCAAGAAGCTCTGTCTCTATCTGTAACCTTAAATATAATACCCTCAACTTATGTAAAAATCAAAACAAATTGTAATATGTTCACCAATTGCAGACTTTTCTGTAAATACTATTTAGCAAATTATAAGAGGTACGTGCTAACATTAAGAGAGGAATATTACTTGAAGGCATGAAATATATACTTTCTATACAGCATTATGGATTGCAATATAAAATGAGCTAATAAGTTATACAATATACAAATTATCACATGATGATCATAACATTTTATGAGTAATTTTTTCATCCAGCTCATTTCTATACAAAAATAATCTTTAAGAAAAAAGCCTCCTAATTGGAACCTGGATTCCATAATAGTCTATGATCAAAGGGAAATGTTTTTAATATTGCAAGTTTTTAAACTGAATATCACCCTTGCCTAAAATGATCCCGAAATGTTAAAACTCCATGCATTACCCTCTGTATTCTTAAATAGCTGATTTTTCTACAGAATTGCTAGTGTAGTACTACATGGCTAGCCATATTTTATTTTTGTCAGTTCTTAGCGTGTTTCGTGCTTTGAAATTTGGTCAGTGTGACATTACTTTTACTGGTTAATAATTAAGATGGGGACCTTAATGCCCCTCTTAGTTAGCAAAGTCAATATTTATTCGACGATTTTCTATTCCAGATTTAATTAAAAAGACTTGGGGAGGATGAACGTCACAGTGGAGCTTGATGAAAAAACATGGGAGTCTAGTGGGATAACATCCAATATCATGAATACCAAGCAAGCATTCAATACCAATGAAACAGAACTGCTATCGGGTAATTCAACACCTACAACAAATAATGGGGTTTCAATTGGCATTGGGGCAATTGGCACGCAGACATCAGAGGCAATCATCGCAAATAGCACAATGGACGTTAGAGGTGATGCCACCCAGAATGTATTGATGAACGAGAGTTCAGTGACGATAAATAGCTCATCAACAATGAATGAAATATTGACGACGTCTGGTTTATCATCTGAAGCGGATGCCTCTGTGAGTCAAGTTACAATAACATCAGAGGAAGCGACAAACTTGAATATGTCCTTCACTGCATCAAGTACCACTAGCGATACTTTAATCAATGGGACAGATTATGCTAGAGACTCTCAAGAGATCTCCGAATCTATTACGAATTCAACATACATCGCTTTGAATAACTCTGTTGCTTCTCCCAAGTTCACACCGACAGATCAGTCTCTATTAAATCTAACTATTACACGTGACCTGACTGAACCAACCCAGGGTGTAATAACCTCTGTTTCTAATCAAACCCTCGATGAAACTATGAAATATGTCGCCAACAGCACAGTTGCTATGACAACAGTGAAAGATGGCTCTACAACGATTTCTGGTTCGCCGCTTACAGATGGATTTCTGCATATCAACGTGACAAGCCTATTTGAAAATGTCACTGATTTCTCAACAACGATTAATCCTGTCACACAAAATAGTAATGTAACTATGGCGATGTATAATGCCACTAACACTTCTAACAATACAGTAGGTTTGCTTGATTCGTTGGAGAGCAGGTCCAACTACATATCAACAATTCTTTTTCTTTTCATCCTGATTGCAATTATCAGTAATGTGCTCTTCGTGGTGAGCGTTGCGGTGAAGAAAGATCTCCATCATCTCACCTACTATTTCCTGGTTTCCATGGCAATTATGCACATGGTGATGAGTGTTGTTGTCATGGTACCAAATACGCTAACAGAAATAGCAGGTAATGATAAGTGTAGTCCAATCCTAATTAGCTTCAAACTAATTGTATTTAACGATGATATAGTTATTATTGCATTCTGAATTATTTTATAAATGTCAAAAAAATAATGCACTAATTCTAAATAAGGGCAATATGCATTAAAGGCTGATTATTTCGGAGAGTTCTTATGGTCCACTTAATAACCACAAACAGGCCTTGATAATGGAGAGTAATAAAAATAAATGTCCCACCAACCAAATTACTCCATCTGGCATTGAATATTAAATAAGTCAATAAAAAAGACAGATAATCCAATTTGAGTCGTAGATAGCACAAACCCAGATTGCAAAATAGAGCAGAAAATATCAATCATTCCTTAGAAAACTGGCAATAAGTGCAGTTCTAATTGAGAAAAATGCCTATTTTGATACACGTATCACTTTATCACAAATTTTGCCAATTACGTCAATGGCTCATTTCAGTTATTACGTTAATGATGAAAGTAACTCCCTGATGCAGCTAATGGCACGGTAACCTTTATTAGATCACTGTTAGACTCCCAAGGTAGAACCATTTTTTATAAAACAAGACAGATTAAGTAATGAATAGTCCTATAGCACGGATTAATAATAATAATAATTTGGCATATTTAGGGGTGTAAGCGCCCACATTGATCGCTCCCACAAAACAACAACAAAATATATCCATACTAGACATTAAGAACAATGATTTTATATTTATGATCAGAAACCTTCTAGTTTGAGTCCATGTCCCGAGAAAACAGCAAATGGCTTATATGTTCATGGATGGATGAATGGATTTCTAGTCAAATCTGGCCCAAGTCAAGTTCAATCCTAGTTGACTTAGATCCTAGTTATTTACTAAGACCCATGTTGACTTGAATCCACATTTTCTCAGACCCTGGTCATCAAGACCAAGCTTTATTTAAAAAAGGGCGAGCCATTTTATTTAACCCATATTTGATAGACTAAAACACTGAAACGTTTGCAAACACCAGAAAATAACATAATACCATATTGGTATTAGAATGTATTGAACATGAATATTTCGAGCTATTTTTGTTCGCATCATCGATCTCAATAGATTGTATTGGCAGGTCATTTTAATAGTTTCCACTTCCATGCATAAAGATCCTTAGCTTTATTATCATTTTGACGGGGAATGTTTGAAGATTGTAAAATGAATTATACCGGCATAAGATTGAGATCAAACTACAGATTTGACAATAAGCGAGGCCTATAATCTATAACTATTGATTAGCTTTCTGACAAGGCAACTGGGAACTACTTTATCTCCCCCAATAGTATTAAATAGCGTAAAACGGTTAAAATATATTGCACAATTGTAATTACCTAAGTGCCAGTATGAAGTTACCAAATTCATCACTATGTAATTAATTTGAGTTAAATAACATGGTAGACCACAGCAGACATAAAAAAAGTTCCCCTAAAATTGAATAGTAAATAGATTTAATGGACTAATTTTCATCTTTTTTTCAATTTTCAACTTTTGAGTACTAATAATTCTACATTTCAAACAAAGTATGATCAGGAAAATATACTGTAATCTGTTCAATACAGGAAAATACAATTCATAATTTTTTGATGATTTTACTAAATGGGCTCTACAAGGAATTTCCCCAATCTCATATCCAAAGAACAAGTCTTGTTTTGGAGAACATCTCCTGGGCTAAGATATTTTTATGAAAAATATAGAAATAACACCCAAATTAAATCATGGATATTCAAAAGAGGACGTTTAAATCTACAATATGTAAAAATATCAAAATTGTCCAAAGCAGGTATAATGTGCAGTAGACTGATGAACTTTGTTCTACAAACCGAGACTAGTCTTTTTTCAAAGAAAAATAATATTTCAAAGTTGACACTTTATTAACATCACATTTCTAGATGTAAGAGTGACTCACATATAGTCTATTGTCAAATATATGTTGACTTTTTTATTTCACATTTGTCAATCCTATTAGCGCAGAATCATAAATGATGGTGATTATAACATAAAGCTCAGCATTTGATAAACTTGTTTTTCTTCTCGTAAATCTTTTTCACACTGTTAAACATGAAATGTAGAAAGTACGATCTTTATAAATCATCAGAAATCTATTTCTAGTAATAAACATCAAATATTAAATCCAAGTCTACATTTATAACACGCCACATATTGGAAAGAAGGCCACACACATCATTCAAAGATATAAACCCCTTAGCGATATTAAAATAAAAGATATTCTTCAATAGATGAAAAATAGACAATATCTTAGATGTAAATTCCTATAATGCCGAGAGGGGCAAAAGTAATGTACTTATTTCCATTTAAAAATATTCCGAGTAATTTTAACGGTGTCATGCATATAATAGATATCAATAAATTACACAGCTTTTCAGATAAGAAATAAAAAAGATTTCGCTGAAAGCATGGAATATGCTTCTTTTTTATGTTGATGGTTGAGATTATGATCCTGAGACAACAATGGAATGGAGAACAAATAAAAAACAGCGGAAGTAATTCAACAACTTAGAAAAACCAACAAATCAACACGCAGAACCAACCAACCGTGATACAACACACTAAATCATTTCTTGAGATGAGACCGATTCTGTTTGCCACGCACCTAAATCATTAATCTCACCAGTCAGGATATTCTGAATTTAAATGAATTTTTTTTCACAAGTATGAAGTAATCAAGGCATATAGTAAAAGAGGTTGAAAACAAGACAGGTATAACTGACACTTCATTTTAATTTCTCAAATAAAGGTAAAATCTCCACAAACTAATCACACATACTAATCAGACACACCAATCTGACATAGTTCTGAACATAAACAGAGAGACCACACTAAACCATGCACACTGTAAAAATTAGTCTGATCATGTTCGGGGGCATAACCAGTAAATGTCAAGAGGGTGCGATTTTTTGGGTTTGCATCACTGCGCGTGAAGCTAGCACCAAAAAGGGGTTACGAGGGTTCACCCCCAGAATTTTTTTCAAATCTACAGTTCATTGTATTTTGTGCGTTCTAAGCATTTCAAACTATAATTTGTTATTGTTTTTTCAACAAATTTTACAAAATTGTTGTAATCCCACCAATCACACCCCCTGGCTACATGCCAAAATTGTTATAACACATCATCTGTTGCTATTTCAATGAAATATCTGACATGCAGGGTGTCCAAAAATTTGCTTTATACTTTACAAAAACTTTGATTGTCATTGTTAACCCTTTGAGTGCCATTGGGCCGATTCGGCCGATGGGAAAATGTATGTCGCTAAAGTGCCAAGATCGGCCCAAAATCGGCCCAAAATAACGCGTTTATATACACAGGGAAACATACCATCAACTGAGAATGAATATCCTATTCTTATTTATTTATGTTTGTTTAGATCGGTCTTAATAAATCGACCCGGACTCAGTTTGATTTAAGTTAATTTAACAGACGCTGGGTATCTTACAACATCGTATAGTAAATGCGTTTTAACCAAGTTGGCAAGGTTTAATGGAATATCGGCCCGAATATAGTAGATTCAACAATGTCCCCATAAATGGTGAATAATACGTTATTGGTCAAGTAATTAAACAAATTGTGTTGCAAACTAACTGAGGTAACTTTTTTTATGCTATGAACGCATGTAATTTTCGTATTTTTGCAACGCTGATGTTTGTTAGATTGTATCTGTTAACGTAATTTAGTGTACAAATGAAGTAAATACTTGAAATTCGTGTATTGGAAATAAAATATGCATGGATATGAATGAAACGTAATGTTTGTTTTGTTCAAAAATAATTTGACCTGATCTATTCCTCATATACAGTATACAATGTAGTTAAATTTTACGAACGCTGGGCATCTTACAATATCGAAAAATTAATGCTTATTAAAGGTTGAATAAATGGTGCAGAGACGTATCCAACGATCATGGTCCTGGTGTCAAAATATATCGAATTTTGAATATTTCATCAAGGCTAACATCTATTTTCATTAGCTACAAAGAAAACCCCCGAACGTACCTAATTTCTGCCGATATTCACAATCACTGGCATCCTAAATCCCCGGGAATCTTCTCCTGGCATCGACAGAAAAAATGCTCACGTACCTTTTAATGATTTCCCGGTTATATTGTCATTGGATTCCAGCCCCGTTTTCACCTAAAGTTCTATCCAACATTCTGTTTCCTTTATACCATGCGCGTGTCAAGAAGACCTTGAATATGGGCAGATTTGAGGTGTTTTAGTCTTAGATTTTTTTGATTTTTCTTCGTCAGTGGATGAGATTAACTGCAAGAGTCGCCGGTAATAGACCGTCAACGGCGGTCGTATCGGGTACCATGCATACGGTTATATCAGACAACCGCGGTTATACTGTAACATGCGGTCTTACCTATCTCAGCTGCAGCAAGAATTTTAAATGGCGGAGATTTAGAAATGTTTCAAAAAACAAAATGTGGGACGTCCAACCTTTCAATTGCTTATTTAGAAGTCTATTTGCATGTCTGATTGGTGGTATTCGTCGACAAGTGCATATATTTTAAGAAAATAGGTATGGCGAAGAAGACATTAGGCAAAATGTTGCACTAATAGCTCGGGAAAGGTAGAATGACTCCCAAATTTCTTCTATAGTCTTTATTGAACCTTTAACAAGCTTGGCATTCAAGGATTTCGTTAATATTGGCCCAAAATGTTGTCCCTATAAACGTTGATTTGTAAGTAATTCGTCGCAAATATACCAAAGTCACTTATTTGTAAATGAGTGTATTTCTTATTATACTTTGAACGCATATGATTTTCAGCATTTTAGAACGCTTACTGTTGTCTTGAAATTGTTGCGCTATTAACGTTTTTGAAACATGAAATTAACTGTAAGAATGTAAAACATGTATTTATAAATATAATCCATGTGAATATATAGAAATGACATTACACATTATGCATAAACTGAAAATAAAAATAAAATACTTTTGGATGTAGAAATGCGAACTGAT